TGAACAGATTTTTGTATTCTCCACTTGGTTGATGTGTTCTTTGTATAAAGGATTTTCCATATACAAATGTAAATTCGTTAATACACATGCACATACACATATTCTTATAGGTATGTAGGATGGTTCAACTCAATATATTCGTGTAACATGAAGATTTGTTAGTGAGTTCATTTACATTCCAATTTTTTGTTTCATGTTTTATTTTTATTTTATATTTTTTATACATATGTACTCATGGGCATGACTTAACCATGAAATAAATGAATTTTTATTAATTTAAATAAAAACTAAAGTGGCATATAGTGTTAAAAATAAAATAAAAAATATAAAATTGAAAATAAAAAAAAATTATTTTGTTATTGTTTTTTTTTTTTTAATTTATGTATTCAATTATTTCTACGACCTTTTATAAAAGTTCAGTAAGGTATAAAGAAAACAGATTGTATAGGTAAGAATAAAAAATTTAATGAGAACAACGGCTTAGGAGAAGTTCTACAATAATTTTTTGTTTTTATTTATTTTTCCTTATTAATGAGATCCTCTGTTTTATTCTCAAAATTAAAGAATTTTTTAAAGAAAAAAACTGTAAAATACAAGTAGATCTATGCATTTTTAGTTAAAAAAATTCTTTTAATTAATTTAGAAATGTTTGTTTTTTGTAATTAACTTAAAATATAAAATTATATAGATTGTATTAACTTATAATTTTTGTAATTATAATCTTGTACAATATTTTTCTTAAGAAGAATTGAATAACAAGTCGGTACTTACACTATTATTATAGTAAAGTTACCGTTGAGGTTTTATTGTCTTAAAAAAATTCTCATAAAAAATTTAGTCAACTCGAATGTTTTTGAAGAAATGACAACAAAATCCTCATGTGAATAACTACAAAATCAACTTTTCAATTACTATTCAAATGAAGTACAATAATTTCAAATTTATACTCGTAAATGTATTTTGAAAGCTATGATGGAGAAGAATTTGCTAAAAATTTCCTCGTACCTCTGTGCCTCTGTATTATACCGCCTAAAATGCGGTCCAGTTCGAGAAGAAATATTTCTTGATTTAACAAGCCCCTTATGCTATGTCATCTGTCTATTCTGCAGTTGCATGAACGATTTTTTTTTTGTTTATTTTTGTTAGAAATTTATAAAAAGAAAAAATAAACTACCTAAACCATACGGAATTACTAATACAACGTGTATTGTTTTAATTAATAAGTAATGTGCCTATTACATTAATATTAACTTAATAAAAATTTTTTCATACAACTGCAGAACAGATGGATGACGTAATCAAAGGAACAAGTTAAAGGTAGAAATATTAAAATATTTTCCTTTTCGAACTGTGCTTGAACCAGTGATCTACCGCTTTCTACGCGGACGCTTTACCAACTGAGCTATAGAGGTATGAAGAAATTACCGACGAAATGTTTTCCACATTGCTTTATACAATTTGAAACACACAATCACAAGAACATACTTGTATATATAATAGGTATTGTGCCTATTACACCATGTTATTGTTTCATTTTACTTAGGCATGTACATTCTTAACTTATAATAACTATTTAAATAGAACATAAAGATTTTTAGGAGAGATTCGCTTTTAATACCCGTATGAACGTATGTTCGAAGGAAATTATAATCTCGGGTATAGACTCAAGTATATGTTTTTGCTCAGCGTCAAATTCTAAGTCTAGTTAATTATGTCTGTCCGTCTATCCGTCCGTTCGTGCCAACGATAATTCAAAAACTAATTGAGCCAAATTAATCAAAATTTCAGAAAAGATTTGTGATTAGAAATTGCAAAACCCTATTTAAATTGAATGTGATTGAGGTAGTGGTTCGGGTAGCTGCCATACTACTTCAAAAGTCACATAATTATAGCTTGGAAATTTTTGAAGATACGATACTGAAATTTTGCAAAAAACAAACATGAAAAAATGAATATTATTTTCAGTAAAAGTTGTTGAGATATCATGAGCCCTGCCATACAACTTATTTGGGTATAACCTACCCAGTTTATAGAAATTTTGTCAGAAATTATACAACCTACAGTATTGAAGTTTCGCAAAAACCATTTTTGACTAGGGCTCTTATATTTGATAAAACTATAGTTGAAATTTCTTAACTTGTGGTGTTAGCTGCCATACAACTTTGAAAACCATTTGAAAACTTGAATAAAAATTAGATTCCCGGACATATTCTCGGGATCATACTTTTGTAGCAATTTCTTGAACAATCTTTAAAATTAACATGAAAAATAATTTTAGAACCTTAATCAAAACATTTTCAGGATTTATTAATTTTATGAAATTTTACTGATAGTACTTTCAATAGAATTTTATTTCAAAGTGAATCAAAATCATAGCACGAATATTCTTGATAGTAAGTAAATTTAATTTAAAATCATAAGTGATTTATTCTTAATCTATACGAATACATAATAATTATGTACATTTAAAATATTTTAAAATCTTTATAAAGTCGAAATTAAATATTTAAAATATAAAAAATTTGAACGCGGAATGAAAGTTTCATTTCAATATATTTAAATTTTGGTTAAATTTCAGTACCATAAACTAGGCGAAAAATCTTTCATCAAGTTTTTTTTTATTTTTAAACAGGATATATAATTAACAGCGGAAAACAGCAATAATTATATGCTCGTAGGATTTGGAAATGAAGTCCCTCCTTTAGAATTGAAAGTTTAGAACTGAAAAACTTCACTTGTTCAAAATGTCAACTATGACATAACTCGTATATTTCATGTTCAATATGAATAATTACGCCTACAAAATAAAATTATCAATTATTTTGCAACTATAGGGTTTTGTTTTATTACAATTATTAGCAATATACAAATGTACATTATCATTATTAAATTAATTAATTTTCTATACTCAAAAATATTTCTTAAACTTTGTAAATGAAATTAATATCCTAAAATGAATACATTTGAAATGAGTTTTATATCAGGAGTCTTTTATGTCAGGACAAAAAAAATAATATTGTTGGAACATAAGGTAACTACAAGTATATTTTAATTTTGAAAACTTTTTCTTTAGCAGTTTTGTAAAAATACAAATTTTATCAAAAAAAATAGTCTTAAATATCCTGTTTGGGGAAAAAAATGAGACAGAAAGTGAGAGAAAACTAAGGAAACAACCGAGGACAATTAACTTGTTGAAAAATATTTATTTTATAAAATAACAAATTTTCAGAAATAAAAAGAAAAATAACAGTTCCAGAAATATAATTTCTCTAAAAGACAAAACAAAGTATGTAAAAAAAAATCCAAAAAGGACTTATGCACGTATAAGAAATAAAAATTGAATAAAATTTTCTGGAATTCTCAGGATACAAAGAAAAAGAAGATAACTAATTTTATTCTCGATGGTATCAAATTCAATATAAAAATTTTCCAAAACTAATTTATATAACTTCAGGCAATACTAGGGTATTTAAAATTGGTTTTTAAATTTGTTTCGGATTGTAAAACATTTTCAATAAAAAATTGTTGTCACCTAATCAAATGATGACTTGAAGATCAAAAATAGAAATTTAACGAACGGAACTCATTTATAAAATATTTGATTTACAGGTATTGTTGGCTAACCCGGAAGAACGGGTGAAAATGCACATCGATCCACCATCGATTAGGTCTATGCGCGCTTAAGTTAGTATAGAAATGGAGCGTTAAGTACTTAACCGAGACCTTATATACAAATGACTTGAGTTTCGAAAAACCGAATCGAGATTTTAATATTCTAAAATTGTTAATTTTTAGTAAGATTGTGAAGCACAATCTATACTTCACTATTATTAAATATAGAAATTAAATTTTTAAATAATTAAAAGATGAGTAAAAGAAAGATTTTCGTTTGCCTTTTTCCCAAATGCAACTCTTTTAATAACAGAACAAAGCATTTTGTCGTGAACCGAAATTATTTTATTTTAACATGGAACCTGTCACGGCACTTTTTATATGTGGATACGGTATAAAGAAATTTATGCATACAATAATTATGGATAAAACAAACTCAAAACACGAACTTTTGTTATAAACGTGAAATATTCCAAATTTTACTTTTTAGCTTTTAAAATAAATTTTTTACAGTTACTCTCACAACACTTGAGTTACACAAAATGCAGAACTTATTGCATTTGTTTTTGTTTGACATGGTAAAAGAATTTATTTTTTATCAGGAAATTAAAAATTACGGATGACATTTTAATTTTTTCTTCTTGTCTCTTTCTTTTATTTTATTTATATTATAAAAAAAATAAGAAAAACAACAAAGTTTATTAAAGTTTTGCATAATGCAATGAAAAGATTTCACAAAGAGAGAAAGAGAGAAAATTTAAATGAAATTATCTAAACTACATAAAAAGAATTTAAAATATAAAAAAAAAACATTCTGACAAGAGATGGAAATCTTAAAAAAGGAAAGCGGCATCAGGAAAAATCTTTTACAGAGAAATTCTTTTTATTTCATCTTATGCACAACAAAAGTATGTGTTGCACTTTGTTTCAGCATCAACTCTTCTTATACAAACTTCCGTACACTCCTTAAATTTTGATTTTGACTATTTTTCTTTAACAGCATCACAAGAATCAGTTAACAAATTTAGTTTGCAAAATTTATGAACAAAATATAAATATTCAGATTTAAAATATTTTAGAAGATTTTGCAAAAAATGAAAAACAAAATATAAATTTAAATCAAAGTGAGATAAAAATGTTTTTAATTAGAAAGTTATTGTCATTTTTAGCAACATCTGGAATTGCACGCTAACGGGTAGTTTTTAATTAATAAAGAAATTTTATTCAAAAATTAAATTTAATTAATTATTCAAAGATTGTTCAACTTTGAATTATGCTAAAACCTACATAGTACGAGTATATATGCGCTAAAATTAAATTCTAAAGCATATTGGTATGTTCATTGAAAAGTTTTTCTTTTTTAGAACAAAACAAATGCTATGCAACAGATATAAAATTTAGTATTCTTACGAATTAATTTTAAAATTAAATTTTAAATTTCGTTTGAATTTGCTTCTTTTCTTTAGGTAGCCATTTAAAGTATAAGAATGAATTCATTTACAAAAAAAATTTTCTGACGTTAAAAGGATCACCCATAATATCAATTTTAGAAAATAACTTACGAATACTCGTATTCTTTGAAAGATGTATAAATTTTCTTGAGTATAGCTTAAGTGTGAATTTCCCCTTTAAAGCACATACCACGCCTTTGATTTCAGTATATCAAATTTGAAGCAAAATAATATCATTTAAATTGAATTTACTTGTTTATAAGGTTTGTGATGACCTTAACCGTTTTTATGTAAAAATCAAAACTGTAATCAAAACTGTTACGGTAGGCTAGTCACCTACCTAGCTAACTCTCTATGACTATAGAAACTAGGGCATGATAGAATATCATGCACTAGCCCTATACTCCTCCTAGGAGTGAAGAAGGAAAAAAAAAACAAAAATCAAAACTGTAATATGCACTCCATTTCTGTACAGATTTTGTCTCTCCCACGTATGAACCAATCGACTCCTGGCCAATGCTACTAAAAGAAAGAGAATATGGCCAGCCGTCTCATCTTCATCATGGCAAAATCAATACAAAGGGTCCCCAGATTGTATCAATTTGTGCAAGTAATAACCCAGTCTGCAGTGCCCAGTGAGGAGGTCGACTATTTGTTTAGCCTCACTCATTTTAGATATCAACAACTATAAAGAGCCTCAACTGCTTCATTCCCAACGCCCGCTTGCAACTATTCTATTGAAGGCGGCCCATCCAGTCCCCTGCATACACCTTCATGTGACAACTTGACAGCCCATAGAAAGGCTCTGACCTGACCGAACCCGCCTTTGCTCCCAACCCCTCAAGAGCCCGGGACCTACGATAGCCATATTCACCCTACCGATTTCTACTAGCGCCTGTAGCCATTCTCCTACTAAATTCGATTTGATTTGGTAAGAGTCAAGCAATATGTATATCTATACATTATAATATTAACACTAAATACATTTTATGTGCGTTAGAAAAAATGCGTTTTCATAAAAGTTTACATCATTTACAGTAAAATAAATTTACTTACGAATCTTTCAATAAAATTTTCAATTGGAGTGTATTGGATTAGGTAACTAAAAATTTCATTTTAATTCTATACTTCAATAACTAAATATAAATTACATTTGTCTTTCAATCGATAACATCCACATCAGATTCAGATTGATTGATTTCGCATTCCAAACTCAAATATCGTAAAAAATTCTTACCTGAAAAAGAAAAAAAAATATTTATTTAATTAACTACAACTTGGTATAGTAAGGAATATTAAAGTTAAAAATGGGATAAAATATACATAAGATAACAAATCTTTTAATACATTCTTCTTTTGTGAGCAATTGAGCTTATATTTAATATTTTGCCGTCCTTGCTTTCAAGAACGGTAATAAATGATAAAAAAATTAATTTGAATTTGTTAAAAAGGTGAATTAATTAACGAAATCATGAAAATATTTAGATGGACCTACTGGGAAATATCTATAAAGTAATTGTTATGCTAAAAAACTGATGATAATTTGAAAAGTGCTTAAATCTAGCGTTTCAAGTTCAAATTAGCAACTTTAAACGTTACTCTATTCGAAACTGTAAGTTTTATGAAATTTTCAAGAAAGCTAAAAGGCAAATGTTTTCTTAGCTAAATTCGTGATAACATGTTTAATTTAATTAGATTAATTAACTGTCTAAATCAGTTATTATTCGTTTTTTTGATAACCTTATTTTTGTACCCCTAGAATTATGCACTTAAAAGGAAATCAATAAAACCCTTTTTTTTTGATTTAATTCGAATCGTTTTCAAATCACTCGCTCTTATTCGATTAAAATTTATTTAATTTTTTTTTTTGATAATAAATTCATGTAATTAGTTTGAGTTTCTGGTTAAACCATATTTTACAGCCTGTACAAGCATGAATATTTTGCTCATTCCATTCATCCCATATTACTTTTATATTTAATTTAATGATTTTGTTATAAGCAATTAATCATATTTTTCGTTTTCCACACAAATTAAGATTATTATTATTAGAATGTTTTTAATAATTTTGATTTATAAAAATTTAATCCTTTCCCTTTGAAATTTTAATAAAATCAAATAATGTTAATATTAGCGGCTTCAATGAATAAATATGCAATTAAATTGACTTAAATTTTTTTTTGTTATTAAAATTTTTATTTAAATTTAAGATGAAGAAGAATTTTCCTGTATTCCTAAGTTTTCCATTCTTTTTTTATATGTAAATGTATGTATGTATTTAGAACAGTACTCGTTTCTTGGTGATTGCAAACGTTTAGTCCATTTGCCCTTTAGTAAAATAAAATACCGTACCTTCCCTTTTTTTATCGATAAAATCCTTTTTTTTTTATCACATTCTTCCATTTTAAGTCCTAATTTAAATTAATGAAATAAAAAATTTTTTAACCCAAAAAAAAAAAAATTAAAAAAAAAAATACTGAATTATTCTCTCCTCTTTTATTTTGAACATTAAAGGAATAAAATGAATTTTCATTTTTAATTCAGTGGAGAAAACGTAGAGTCGTAGAGTATGATTTTAAATGCTTTGATTTATGAGAAAAGTATATGTATAGAGAGTAAAAACTGGGAGTCAAAGAGGTGTGTAGGAACAGGTGTGGGGGTATTTTATTTAAGAACGCAATTCTTCGAACCTATGGTGTATGTCAATCGTCATTAAATTGTACTTGCTGTTCAATTTTGAAAGAGGAGCATTGGAGACAGAAGATAATAATCATGTTAGATTCCTAATGCAGTGTAAAGCTGTATTGGGAAGCTCAATAAATTTGGTAATCGCAACTAAGTCGACGCTTTGACGAGGAGAACTCTATAACAAACCTCTCCTCGGCTGGGAACCCTTTTGCGAAATCGGGCCACATCCTGTTAGTTTAAAACTAATAAAAGAATCAGAGAGGAAGCCTTCGATAAGTTGGAAAATTCTTCCGGAGAATTGAAGGTATATGCTTTTCTTGTGAGGAGATTTTTGTACACGTTCTGGGTGATGCACACGTTCGTAAGAGATGTGCAGCATAGAATAATTATACAATCATGGCGGCAGAGTTGTGGTCTTTGAGGTCTAACAAGATAATCGAATTTATTTTGAGAAATGATTTCGAAATTGGGATTTAATTTGGTCAAAATAAATTCCAATATTTCCATGTGACTTTCATTGGTCAAATTGAAATTATTCGAAAAACTTTAAAAAAAAATCATCGTAAAAAAACAAAATTTTAAAAATAATTGTTTTATTTTATTTTTTGTTTTTTTAATGGCATATCCGATATTAATTTCATGTTAATTTAACACAAAATATTCTGAATGTGTGCATATTTTCATATTGCTCACGTATTGGGAAAAATGAACCGCGAATAAACAAATAAAAAAATCAATAAGAAAAATATTGTGTATAGAATCATGAACGACCGCAATGTAAATATTTTGAATAATATTAAGGAATCTCGTTTAAAATAGTCCTAGTACTCTGTCCAATTAGATTGCACAGTAGTGTACAGAACTTAAAAAGAACTTTAAAGAGTTATTGGACTCATTGGAAGTAAATTAAAACCTTTTATTAATACATAAAGATAAAAATGTAAAATTAGAACCTAATGGAATTATTTCTCTACATTCTAGACTATGGTGAAAATTGTATAATTGGATTCTATAGAAAGCCTTGGTCTCCATCACATTACTGGAAAGTTTAGTAGTACTTTTTCAACAGTCAGTGTGAAAATACAAAAATCCAAGACAATTTATAAATATATTTTCAAAATTAAGGTTGTTGCAGCAGTAGGGCTTCAAATGCTTCAAATTCCAAAAGCTGATAAATCTATCAGATAGTCACAATAAACTTTGCAGTGTACAGACAGATGGATATACAGTCATTTTCTAAAAATAGTTTATTTACGTTTCTCTACTACGAAGAAATTAATTTCCATTGAAAACTTGACACTCAAAATTTGGTTTCATCACATAACTTCCATTCTGAAGTTGGATCGATAAAAGTGGGTTTAATTGGTTTCATATTAAAAGTATTATTTTAAAAATTTAAGAATCGGAAAAAAAAAATGAAAACGATTAATGAAAACTTTTTGTAACTTTGTAATATTTTTATAAAATATTTTAATTGTAAATTTTTTTTTATTAATTTTTCCTCTGCATAATTTAATTAAATCGAATTTGTATTTGCAATAATTACACTGATAAATATTTGTAAATGTATTATACGAGATATTTGTTATACAACATTTAATATTTACATATAAAAATAAAAATGTAAAAATTACACAATTAATTTATTACAATGCTATTTATTTATTAAATTTTACGATATTACTCATATTTCAAAGATTTTAATGATAAATTAATTTTTAATTTAAATTGATAGTGTTTTTTATTCTGTAAGATGAATGCGTACAAAAATATGTAATATCTGTGCATAAATATCTCCCATATTCAATTTCGAATTTAATTACTTATTTTTAGTGCTTTTCAAAAACAAAATTTAAAAAAAGTGCTTCTTAGGTTTACTCGTTCCCTTTGTCCTTCCGTCCATTCGTGAACGCGTTTATTAGACTTCTACACCCTTGATTATAGAAAGTTGAAATTTCATATGTAAATAAATCTTTACTAGAAACTTATTGACACCATTCTATTTCTTGAACTGCAAGCTTTCCAAATTTCTTAAAATGCAGAAATCTAACGGTAAATACCATATCATTCAAATATATAATTATTTTTCTTAACTCACACAATTAACCCTTGAATTTTATGAAACCCCTGAAGCATTATGTTAAGTTCCTTTCATTTTTTTTTTGCCTCATCCTAAATGTATGCAATTTTTTAATTATTTTGGTGTATGAATGAAAGTAATTTAAATAATGTAATTGTAAAACATTGTTGTAATTGAGTATTGAAAAGAAAAATACTACTAGAAAAAAATGCTACTTTATGTATTTTTCAACTCCAACTTGAACTTTAGTTAGTTTTCAAGTCCAACTCGGTTGGAAATATCTTAAAAGTTCAAAAAATTTATAACATATTATAGTGTTTCACATTTTGAAAACTGCCAGTATCCAAATTTGTTATGTACACATTTCAGAAGAAAATTTAAAATTTTTGTGTGATTAAATGCAATGATTCTTGTATTATCAATCTTGTGTAACAGATCAATTTAGTTAAATATTACTAATTTCGAGAAGTGTAAAATTTATTTGAAATTAGATGAAATTGAGTGTTTTTTAAGAACTATTTATGTAGATCTTTAATTCATTAACAATATGTATATGATTGCAATTCCAGTGCTTTGTTTGCAATCCTCCAGTTCTTCAACCATAAAAATTTTTTAAGAGAAAAACATAAAATTCCATTATTTTTCCAACTCTTTTAGCCTATTTTGTAAATTATTTTATTCCCTTTTTCCTTCATTACATTTTTGAGTAAGAATAATGGGATTACATACCAATTACGCTAAAATTACTTTTTTTCTCTTCCTCTTTTCTTTTTTAGTTCAAAAAGAATAACTAAATTGCATAAATAATTGGAAAAGTTTTTTTTTTTTAAAGTTATAGTTACGCCCCAATAACGTTTGAAGAAATTCAAGATTAAAATTACAGTATAGAAATACGAAAATATATACATACATTCATACACCTTTTTGAATTTTAAATGAAGGTGAAGAAAAGAAAAGGAAAACTTTTATTCCAAAATTGATAGACAAAAGCTGTGCATATACGAACAACAACTGTTCAAATCCTGAGAAAATAATGATGTAAAAACTTTACAAATCACAAGCTCTGATCTTTAATATTCAATCTTAATATTTTTTTACTAGTTCATTTCTTAAAACAAAAAGTGTAAAAATGCTTCTAATGTTCTATGAAAATTCAAAAACTTTTTAACTTTATAGGGCAAATAAGAAGTCGTCCTACATTTAATATACTCAACGCAAACATAATTTGAAGTATGTGTACATATATATATATAAATTTTTGAAAATCATTTGTATGAGAGCAATTTTCTGCCTGTTCATTTGCAAACTTTAGAAACTTTATTCTTTAAAATATACTTAAATTATTTAAGGGATAATTACCTGTTTAATAGTTAATAGTTTTATGCATACACATGCATATACACATGTATGTGTGAATAATATATACGTTCTTCTTAAACTCTTTTCAATTCTTAAGAATAAACCGTTAA